TTGTTACGATTATTTTCCTTCGATTGTCGTCCCTCTCTTCATGGCAGCTTCCCCCTCCCTTGTGAATCCTCTACCGCATGCACGCTTTTTTACCCCCACCCCCCCCGTCCCCGGCCAAACACCACATAGTGCATTAGCATAATTATATATATATAATCTTCTTATTCGCATGAAGGCGTGTTGCGTGTGCATGTGTGTATGTATGTCTGTATGTATTTCTGTATGTATTGTATGTCTGTATGTGTGCCGCCGAAGACTTGTTCTGTGCAGTCGTTTTGCTTGCAATCACTTCAACCTTCGCGGCGCCCCACGTCGGCCGCGTGCGTGCTCCTTCAGCACAGCCCAGCCTGGGTACTTGTAGCCGCCAAGCGCCTTCTCGAGTGCAATCGCCACCCCAATGCTGAGCTCGTCGTTGACCTCACGCGAGACAATCTGCACTCCCTTCGGCAGGTGATAGTCTGACGGCAACCGTCGCTCCCGCACATCGGCGGGCGTCACGGAGGTTCGGCTGTCGTGCAGGTCTGGCGTCCAAATCGGCACGGCAGTCGCTGGCATCTGCAGCACGTTGAAGGCAGCGGTGTACTGAAAGTCAAGCGGGGACATCAGCGGCAGGTGATGACGCGGGGCGGGACGTGGAAACGTCGGCGCCAAAATGACGCCATCGTCGCGCAGCAGCGCCTCCAGAGACCGCTTAAAGGAGGCGATGTCATGCTGTGGGGAGGGAAGCCACATGCCACTCGGAAACGTCTGGTCGAAGAACTCAATCACGCAGAGAAGCAACGCAGGCAGGGTGTGCTGCGAGCGTCCAACGAGCCACAGCCACAGCTCCCGTAGCATATTGAAGCTCATGTGACCCTCGCCCATCAACGTGGTAAACTTGACCTCCGTAGGGTCCGAGACGAGCACGTTGATCCACATGGCAAAAATATCCGCAAAGGGTCTGAATTCGACTGGGACCTCCCCACCCGAGCAGCGGCTTCGGTCGCGCATATTGACGTACACCACCTGAGCCCCGTACTCCTTTTCCAGGCACTGCGCCGCCAGCCGCACCGCTGCCAGCTGCGACGGCGAAGTGTAAACACCAGAGATGCCAAAGTCCTCCAGCACAAACACACGAAGTGGCTTACCCTTTCCAATTTCCGGGATCTCACCGAGCGGAGGTCGCGGAGGGTACTTTATTGGGTCCTCAAGGAACCCACCGCGGGCGGCCACGTGGCAGAGCGGGGCAATGTCCTCTGCAAAGCGGCAAATAGGACCTGTGGCCATGTAATGGTTTGCGGCCGTCTTGGGGCACGGGTGCTGTCCACGGTTAGAGATATAGTGCGGGCTTGACTTATGGCCAAAGACACCGTTAAAGAACGCCGGCATACGTATGGAGCCACCAATGTCACTGCCAAGGCTAAAAGTTGAAAAGACTGCCCCAGCGGCAGCGCCTTCACCTCCACTGCTTCCACCCACTAAACAACGCGTGTCGTATGGATTGCATGAGATGCCGTACACATGATTTGAACTCTCATACCACATGCAAAGCTCACTTGTGTTAGTAACCCCAAGAATGATGGCACCTGCGTCACGGAAGTTCTTTACCACGGGACTATCGTGTTTGGCGATGATGTGGCGTCGTTGCGGATGACCGCTGGTGTTTGGGCAACCTGCCACCGACATACATTCCTTGATCGTGCACGGTACCCCAAGCAGCCAACTTGGCGGCTGCCGCGAGCGGTTGGCACGCCACGCCGACCACACGGCATCAGCCTTCACCGCCGCCTCGATGGCCTCGTCAAAGCACTCAAATACCATGAGGTTAAGATATGGATTGACAAGCTTGATGTGCTCAATATACGTCCGCACCACATCCTCGCAGCTCAACTCACCCGCACTGTAGGCTTTGCTGAGCTGTACCGCTGAAAGCTGCTGACAGTACGCAATAGGCACAGCTGGCACTTGACGTGATGTTCGCGGGCCAGCCATAAGACATACTTCAAAGGCTTTGTTCGCCAGATATGCGTAGCATACCAACAAGGCCGTACCAGCGAGGCTTCCAAAGAACCACCACACCAGAGAAAGCACAACGGCAGCAAAAGCAAATGAGAGTCGTATCATGATTGCGCACCACCTTCTCTTCCTCCTTGGTTTATTTGTCGTATAACTACCTCCTTTTACTTCTTGATTAAAGACAGTTGCCCATGAAAGCACAGTGCAAAAAGGCAAAAGAAAAAGTGGGGCAAGGGAATCAAAAAAGGAAAAAAAAAAAACGAAATTCACCCACGCCAAGTCAGACATGCCTGTTGTGCATGCGTGATACAAATCTCGGTGGGCTGGGGAACACACAGACAACTGGGGAAAGGTGAAGAGAGAGAAAGAGGCAGAAAACATCCCCTCCACCTCCTCCCGCCGGTGTCGCCACGGAAACATGTGCATAAGAGAGGAATGGGAGTGGTGGAAAAAAGAAAAAAAGAAAGAAAAAAAAACGTCCAACAGAGCGAAAGCTGTGACGCTGACGCGCCAAGTACCCTCCATGCCACTCGCACTTACAGCAACGCCCACCTCCTCCGTCGCTCCCACCCACGCCATGTCTCACAGTCTTTATTGTCACCTTCATTACTTCTCTTTAAAGTTGTCTTTGTTTTGTTTTTTTTTTTGTTGTTGTTTTTTTTTTCTCCGCCTCTTTTGTGGATTTGATTGCGTCTGCGTGTTTATGTATCTGTTGCTGGAAGTTCATTTTGCCCCCTCCACCGCCTCTCCTCTCAGCGGTTTTCTCCAGCAGCGCCCGTGCCGTGGTGGGCGGAGAGCCACCCAAAGAGGAGGACAAATTGCACTCTCTCAAACGCCCAAACATCGCCGCCCTCTGCGCCACCCCAACGAGGCTTCACTCGGCCAGCCCGCGTATAACGCCTCAGGCCTCTATGAAGCTGATGGGCTCACAGTCCGGCAGCCGCCGGTGCATCGCCGTCACATGCTTCCACGGAATCGCCAGCAGACTGAGTGACCGCCAACTCATTTCGCCGTCAGCGTAACAGCGCTGCTCCACAACGTTCTGCAGCAGCAGGTCGCCAAGTCCAATGTAGGCGATGAGCGTCCCAACGATAATACGACAATCCGACAGCTCCACACGCAGCTCACGGCCGAGAAAAGGATGCGGCGCCGCCTCAGTCCCCTTCGTCGTCTCCATAGTGTTTTGACTGCAATCCCGCTGCACTGGGCGCTCGTGTTGCTGCGCAGCTTCCACCGGCCTCTTGGCGTTCTTCTTCTTACTGACCTTGCCGCTCGTCATAGTGACTCCTTTGACCCCTAAGGTGCGGTAACTATTCGTAATAATCTTGCAACGGCCATTTATGTGAACACACACGCATACATACAAAAAAAAAAAAAGAACAAAGAACCATGTAATAAAGTAACCTCAAGCTACACCGTGCGGCGAAAGCAATACCCCAAAAAAGGGGAATAAGAGGCCGACAAGCTCGCATAGAGAGTGCAAGAACAGGTCGCTGCTTTCCTTTATCGTTCTCTATGTATTCCTGTGCATGCGCGTGTCTGTGTGTGTGTGTGTGTGTATGTGTGTGTGTGTGTGTGTACTTCTTGGGGAGAAAAGCTGCTTCATAGAACAATGAACGTCACAACCACACGCTCACATATAAATAGGGATACCGCCACATTTGTATATATACT